TGAGAATGGCGGCGATGAAGCGGAATATATAGCTGCATCGATGTCGCTTTTCCAATTTGCCAATAACCGCAAGTAATTGAAAGCACGCAACAAGATGTAATAATTAACTTTTTTATGCTTAATTTGTATGTGTTATTGTGAATTTGTATGCTAAAACGTCATTCCCTATTTATATTTTCGCGACTGTAGATGAGTCCGCTGAAAATTCGCATTTCGTTTAGTTTCTAGATGTTAAGCAATCTATGTATGAGTTTTTAATGAAATATCTTTAATTAAAGGGTTATAAAAATGTTTATAAAAAGCTTTCATTTGAAAATTTTTAGTAAGTTTATATTCATACGCTTATAAAAAACTTTTTTGAACCTTTATTATAAGTTTACACTCTTACGCTTATAAAAAGCTTTCTTTTGAACCTTTATTACAAGTTTATATTTATACGCTTATAACCAATGTTCCTTTTCGATTATATTACGCTTACTTTCAAGCGTTTTATAAACAAAAATTCAACGTTTTGTAAGCTTAATGTTTATAATTGAAAACTTAAAAAAAACTTTCTTTAAGTTTATTTTGCTTGTTGGGTATGTTTTGTTGACATGCAATGCATATGTATGTGTGTAGACAAGATGAACAGAACTAGTTTAACGAACTCTGGAACCGGCACGAGCAAAATATTATTAATATCTTGGTATGTTGGTATGGTATGTTTTTGTTGCAACAGCAATGAAAAAACAGGTATCACAATGTTTATTGACTATGGGCTAGCATACATAACAAGCTATCGTAGAAATACATACATATATAAATTTTTTTATTTTTAAAAAGTATTAACTACATTTAGTATTTATTTATACGTTACATGCATTCATTACATTTGCCGGCAAAAATTATACGGTAAAATCAGTTCGTTTGTCACAACTTNGGAAATACAACTGAAGAGTGTGCGATGTTATATTGTGGTGTGTTATGCTTCATATGTTATGTTATTTATTCTTATGTTATGGTTATGTTATGTTATGCCAAGTACTAAGCTAAACTCCCCTCCACTTAACCCATTCAAACTAATGTTATTTTAGCTCATTCAACTTACATAAACTATCCTTAATTTTATCGGTTGAATTTCAACCGCTGGGCGAACACTAGTTTACATAAATACAAAAAAAAAGTAATAAATTCATACATATGTACGTATTTTAGTTGGTAACTATACAACAAAAATTTATGTTTATAAATATGTAGATACAATTACTAAGTAAGTATTATCCGCGTTGCATGGGGAATAGACCTTGGCAGGCGCCGCGACGCACGATCTGGATGTCTGCAAAGATGAAAAAAAAATTTGAGTAAAACATACTTAAGACGACGAAACGTACGTGATTTAATGTAAGCAATTTTGTTTTAATGACTTTGTGTGTAAGTGAATTATTCAAGGTAAACGTGGAATATTTTTTTTGGCGAAGAAGGCCGTGTCAGCAATGACCTTAGGCAGTTCACTATGGTAAGGTAATACATACCAAAGATCCATTAAATAAACCAGTTGCTGTAACAAGATGCTTTATTTTGAATTACTAAAAACTATGAATTTTATAAATGGTGTATCCTATGTGCATATTTTTATCTTACAAAAATACGCACACAAGTATCAAAATTATGTACGTGTATCGACTGGATCTTCTACAGCGATAGGCATCTTAAATTGTGCTCTTCGCTGCGCTGAATGGGCAAAAAGTTTTATAGATTTTGGACATTAGTATGCATGATTGGGCAAAACGTTGTATAGATTTTGGACATTAGTGTGCATCACTCTCTATACAAAAAAAAAATATTATAGTTTTTCCATCGGAATTATACAGAAAATTATATGCATTTTAAGACTTACGTCAAAATATTTCAGAAAAATTTTAAGATTTAAGTAAGCTAGATCCATGTATAGTAGCACCAAAAATTTCATTATTTTGAATCAGCTGGTAAAATTTTTAAATTTTATGCGGAACTTTTAAGCTCTAACTCCTCTTTCATCATATGTAATTTATTAGGAAAAAGTATTTTTAAAACTAATTTTATTTGTTAAAAATGAAACTTTTGGAGGTAACACTTGTCCGAAATTTTTTGGCGGAAGTTTTATAATATCATAAATTTTATAATGCCGGTGGAAAAACAGCAACTTTTTTTGGCGAGGCACTCTAATGTACATCTTTAAGTATGCATGTACGAAATGAATTTTTAAAAATTTTCTCTTGATTTTGGAAATTTCAACGCGAAGCTTAGTGACTTTCTCTTTCTGATTGGCTGTAGCAGAAGGCTTTCTGATACAACTCTGCACCGAACTGGTTTTCAAACGAATTAAATTATTTAACTGGTTAAATTTTCCAGCAACAATTGCATGCGATTTAACTTGTTTATAAACATGTTTTGTTCATTTAACTGGTTCATGCTTAACTCGTCAAGTTGAACGTAGTATTAACAAGATAAATGGTTAAAATTTACCGTTAATTTTTAGGTTATTAAATTGTATTTATTCGTTAATGTAGCAAATGGGATAAAAAAATTTCTAAAAAATCAACGGTTTGAAACATGGATTTACAAGGGTTTTGTTTGCGGCTATAATTTTTCCGACCACTGTATGTGTTTTCATTAGACCGTACCAGAAAAAAAGTTCGGCATTTTTGCATTTTTTTTTTTTTGAAATTGTCTGGTAAAAATACTTAGACTCACGAATGCACGGCGAACTTTTTTTCTTTTGTTGCTTGTAAGGTGGTACGATCTAATGTACATACAAACGTATGCAGTATTTATAACTGACTCACCTGCACCACACCGCCTCGCACAATCAAACTTCTGCGGATTCTGATATTGCTGTCGATTACTAGCACATATAGGATTATATTCCGACGTGGTAGGACAGCTGCCGAAGCACCTTAAAAACGCTGGCGAAGCTGTGGTAGCTGCAATAAATGGTTCCATAGTAGCAATAACGGGCTGATTATTTACGAAAACTACATTCGAATTAGCGACGCTAGATGACAATTGTGTTGTTGTTGTTGTTGTTGTTGATGGTGGTGTTGTTTGCGTTGTAGTTCCAGATTTTTGTTGTCCATCATTACTAAATATCAGCGGTTGGCCAGGAGCTGGACGTCGTCCCCATTGCGGGCGAGTGAAAGTGTTTGGTTCAAAATCATCATCTGCTGGTGTAAAGAATGGATTATCAATCATATCAAAATCATTCGAGAAAACTTGTCGCTTCAGACGCTTCTGTGAGGTATTGGCTATTCGATGCTTTTGTTGTAGCGGTGGTGCAGCATACGCCATGGTGACCAATAAAACGAGTAGTACTAAGAAAATGTAGTGAATTTAAAATTAGTAGCTACAGATATTTATTAATATTCATAGTGGTAAACACCTGTGCAACTGTAGCAGGTGCTCGTCATTTTGTTGGCATCTGTTTTTTCTTTTTTTTTGTGTGTGATGTTAACACGCCGATATGCGAAACTCAATTGATTTCTAGCTTAGCTCTCCACTAGGTATAAGTAATCTGTAGTAGCACTAGTAGATTGAAGAGTAGATCGGAAAACACAAAAAAAAAGAAATACCCCGAGCGCGATTTGTATAGTTAAAAACAAGTTAAGAGACATTTATTATTTATGCAAATGTTTACGTTGTTCTCTTTTAAACTCATGCCATATTCACGTCAATTACAAAAACAAATCTCAAAACTTGAACTTGACTCAGCAGCAGCAATCAAACATTCCTTAAATTTTAGAGCGGCAAACTACGCTCATTAAGATGTTAACATTACCATTGCCCTTTTACATATGTATGTATGTATATTTCTAATATTGGCAGCAATTAAGTATAGTAATTCACACGTTTTTTAAGAGGCATCAGCAAAAAATTAATAACTCACTTCTTATAAAAATAAATTGTAAAAATTAAGTAATTAATATTTTAATTAGCATACGATATCCTAAACACATGCCTTATTAGTTGAAAAATTCATATTTTTCTGTTAATTGCATTTTTTGACTTCACAAAAAGGAGGAAGGTTATCAATTCGTAGCAATAATTTTTATTTTATTTTTTATGCATGTTACCGCATTACATTGGACCACGTTAACCGATTTCTATAATTCTTTTTTTAAAGGAAAGATGTTACCTCACAAGTGATCCCATTCTAGTTTTGGTTTAAATCCGATCATGGAATCATGAACAGATTAACGATAATCTAAAATTTTTATATGAGAATTGAAGTCGGTTTTGTTTTTTGCTTAAAAATTACTTGTTTGTGGCTAAGTTTGGTAGAAATTTGTGATTCCCAAAGAAAATTAGATCAAATGCATAAAGCTCCACCCAGAACTGCAGCGAACGACGGTTAAACGCTGTCAAATTTAAAACTCACAAAGGCATATGGAATGGCTCATAATTGCGGAGGCAGCAGTTTTACCGCCGACATTTTTCGGTTGATTTAAATTTATTTCTAATTTTACCGCCCAGCGGGTTCACAAGTTTGGCAATGTTTTCATCCGTTTTTTTTTCAGCAAATCTACACACACGCTTGTACCGAAACAATAGCACTCTGGCAAAAGAGCAGATGAGCTCAAGCAACGACAGTTGTCAACAATAATATTTCATTTTAATGATAATTTTCAAATCAAAATGACAACTGTCGCGCGCTGCAATCGTGCTTACTCTGACGGATTTCACTGCGTCACTACCGTCATCCGCTGCAATTCTGGGTAGAGCTTTAGGAATGAGTTAATCTTATAACGCATTATTAAAAGGGGATTTTTATCGGCACGTACATAGATATATAGATATTTATACAGTACTATCCACTAGGCTGGGTGTCGAAAAAATGTCGCTGGCTCATAGAAAATAATGATAAATAGATATACTAAATTGATTAAACAGAAGTCTTTACCAATGTCGTCTTTCAGAATAATTTCCCATCCCCTATTCGGCCATGATATGTTACCGTAATCTACCTTCTTCTTCCTACTCTTGTTTGTCGGTATAACCGCGTAAGCGATTTTGGCGTAGATTCGAATTTCTTCTGTGCCAAAAGAAGTTAATTGGAAATGCCTAATGGAGTCAACGCTTTCTCTTCCATGTCTTTCCGTCGCAAAATAGACCACTCTCTTCCTCTGCTACCACCAGCTGAAACTGCGATGAACAGTTTAAAGGCTTGTGGTTATTGTGTACATTCGTTCGTCATAGCATGGAAAACTAGAAAACCAGCTGTGTTTTTATACATAAGCTGATCTGCCTTCTTCATCGAAAACAGCACAATTGACGAAACGTAATCCGAGTACTGTTTTTTGTGTTAGCTTTAACAAAAAAAAAGTCCATTACCAACGTGCAAATGCCCATAAACCTTCGGCAGAATCTTTATTTCAAATACTCCGAGACAGTTGCCTCATCGGATATTACCATTGCACTTGTTGAACTCCATACCTACTCACCCCATATCCAACTATAAAAAAAGGCAGAATAGACGTTGCGTTTGTTCAGGCCGATGATTTAGATGACAATAATTTTACGCTGTCCGTAAGAAAATTAGTTATACAACTTCTAGTTATTATCTTCTCCTTCATCAAGTAACCCTCCAAAAATATTTTTAACTGTTAAAAACTGTACGATATCTCGACAATGCACCTCATTAAATACCTTGCGAATATTTATAACCAGGGAACGGATTTTTAGGAGCTAAAAACCTATAAAAAAGGCAAAATAAAATAGCGAAATAGGCTGGAAAAGGCACTAGGAATCGCAAAAAAGGCAAAAGAGGGTACTAAAAAAGATAAAAACCGAAAAATATTTAATCAAAAAATACATTTATTGTAGTAATGTTTATTTTACATGTAAAAAGAGAAAAACTATGAACTACATAGTTTCATTATATGAAAAATTTGTATTGTAAATCTTTGACTATTTTCTTCTTCCGAGTTTTTAACTCACAAAACTTTAATCTCTATAGTTGTAGTTACAATGAACAACAAGATTTATTTTGAAGATTTCTGAAAGCGTTTTCATTCGATTTTCGCTTGAAAAAATATACTAGACTTGCGCTCGACGTAAGTTGACAACAGTGGCGCCCAATTTAAATATGGAACATTTAAAACTTTCATATTATCAGGAATACGGGCAATTAAAGGTAGAAAAGGCGAAAAAGGCAAATATCTTAAAAAAAGCAACATCAAATGTGTGTTGGAATCAGGGAAAGCTAATTCGTGGACATTCTTAATGGAATATACTCTATCTCTTTAGCAGAAAAAAAGGCAATTTCCATAAAATCCGTTCTCTGCTTATGACTATGTTATGCTAAAAATTTTGCATTTTAAATAATAAGAAAGATGTATTTGTTTAACATAATTGTTATAAATTTAGGCAATATGTAAAACATGGTATGCTGTTTGAGTCAGACGTGGTTCAGTCATAGTGGCGATTGGTGAAATATGCTTCATCGAGTTTTCCCATTCCCTGTAGCTGGAAGGACGTTTTTGCCAACCAATCAAAGCTGTAAAGAGACACAGAATTATACATAGTATATTTGTACGGTATACTTATTAAAGAAAAATATTGCTAAGCTCAGCGGGTGTTGAAGCCTGACGGGCAGATGTGATAGACGGGAGCTCCATATACATATGTATGTACGTAAATGGAAGTTATTACGCGACACTATTAAGTATTAAGGAGTGTTTGATAAACGCTTGATTGAGAGATGAACTTCCATTTTTGGCTCATTAAAGACTGGCCATATTATCAAGCTTCTAAAATATTTCATAATCAATCTCATTCGCATGAATACGTACAATTTGTAGTTTTTGGTAGTGACACGTCAGCAGCGTATTTGTTATCAACTTTCACGGATTTGCCTTCATTTTTAGCATTCTGCTCTTGCCTAGAAGCGTTGTTGACCTCAACAGCTTTTGAAGATGCTGCTTTATTAAATATATTTTCTGTCTTTTGCAAACATTTTAAAATATGTGTTTCACTTCGCTGACGACCACAACGACATTTGGCTACCAATGAGTTGTACATGTCGGGTGAAAGGAAATATGAATCACCTTGACCGGTATATTTGAAGGGGCATAGTTCTGGAAAAACGATGCAATTTCAAATTCATTAGTACATAACTACTCGTATATTGCTCGATAGGTACATATATATGTACATTAGGGTGGTCCAAAAACAATAAAGTCGGAATTGTAATGCTCTCACCCCTAGGATGGTTTTAAGTATATCGAATGCATTTTTCGTGGTTTTTATGGGTTCTTGGCGGACCTATAAGTTATAGTTGCGATGAAAAATGGTTAAATAAACAATTGGGTATTATTATTGGGAGTCTCGTACATATACAGAGTTTTCCGACAGAAAAATATTGATTTTTAAGTATTATATACGGTTCCTACGCAAGGTTGTTTTTTCCCCATATAAAAATACATGGAAAATTTGGGCGCTTGAGCGACCTCTAAATATTTTTTGATTTCAAAATAAAAAATAGGGAAACAGTTTTTCACGGTATAGAACAATCCTAGGGGCTGAGAGCATACAAATTCCGACTTTACTTTTTCGCATGCATTTTTGGACCACCCTAATGCACATACAGCCAGTCAATAAAGTTTAGGTACAGTGAATTTTTTACAATAAGGTAAACTATTTTTTAAATATTTTATTTTTCGCTCATTTTTTATAAAAATATGGTAAATTCTACAACAAAAAACCCAAAAATCAGAGTTCCAAACCTTATGCAAAACTAAAGAAAATTCGGTAAAATTTCATTCAAAAATTGCACTTTTTATTTACGCTCTCTAGAAAGAAGTTGGGTATGCAGTTTTTGAGCCCATTCAATTTTTGTATACCAAAGTGCAAGTTTGTGGTGGCTTGGACTTACCATTGATTTTTGGAATTTATTTTTTTGTTGAAGGTGGCGCTCATTTTCTCCATATAAAATAATGTTTGATAATTTTTTTATATGGAAAAAATGTGCGACACCTTCAACAAAAAAATTTCCCAAAAATCAACGGTAAGTCCTAGCTTCCTCATACTTGCACTTTATTGTACTAAAATTGAATGGGCTAAAAAACTGCATGCTCAAATTTTTTCAAGAGAGCGTAAATAAAAAGTGCAATATTTGAATGAAATTTTGCAGAATTTTCTTTAATTTCGCACAAGGTTTGAAACTTTGCTTTTTGGGGTTTTTGTGGTAGAATTAACCATATTTTTATAAAAAATTTGCGAAAAATAAAATATTTAAAAAATAGTTGCCGTATTCTAAAAAACTCGCTGTACCTAAACTTTATTGACTGACTGTACATATAAATTTGTATGTTCGTGCGATAAAAACAACTTTTTTTTCTAACTGACCACCTCTCTCTCTCACCTTGTTTTCTGAGTACATCTTTCAATTGCTGGTTGACTTCATTTTGGTTATAGAATTTATTAAATTTTTGATCACCAAGTTTGGCCCATTTTTTCTGAAAATTTCGACGCGCCAGCTGCTCTGTCCTCACTGTCTCTTTGCTGTTGTGAGTTGTATTGAAAATGAATCATGAATTAATCATGAAGTAATTATTTTACGAGTATATAAGTATGTATGTATGTATGTACATAAAAATCATTATTTAGTTTAAACTTTTTTTATTAGCGCGTTACTCACCCAATTCCAAGTTGCTTAGTAGGATCCATAGTTTTTTTGTTTGTATTTAGAAAAAGGTTTTCTTTAACGCAATTTTAATCAAAACGCGTTTCAATTTAAGCAATTGTTTATTGTTTGCTCTATTTTAATTTGTTGTCATGCATTTAGCTGGTTGCACAAGTCACCAACCGTGGATTATTTGGTTACCTTAGTTGCAAGTAGTAGTTGGGATCCGTAGCTTGGTTAATGTTAGTAAATAAATTCAATGTCAACAGTTAAATTGAATTTCAAAAAATATAACACAACAAATCCTTTTCAATGAAGCCAATTTGAAAATGAGAGTCAAGCAAGAAAAATAAATATGTAAATAAATACAAGTTTTGTAAATCAGCAGGAAACAAAGTAGGTGTCCCTAGAGTTGAAACTCTGGACAAATCAATTCAGCTTCCTCTTTTTTGACACTACACATGCGTTTGTCGGTTTGGGCCAAGACCAAAAACTTTGCCATTTGCTTCTTCTTTGCTCAGTTGCGCTAGTTGTTTAACGCAAGAGCAGACATGTCTTTTTTTTGTGTCCATTGGATTTGTGGGCGCCATTGCTTTCGTTGTTCATCTATGGCTGCCGAGTAGAAGAATCTTTTCACCATCATACCCATAGCCAATGCAATCGGTTTTACTCGCTTAACTATGTCCATGCCATTATAAAGCTCATTCAGATCGTGGTTCCTTTTTATACGGTACCCATAGCCCCCGCAAACAGGGCCATCGATCTTTCGTAAAATAGTTCACTCGAGAGCCTTGCCAACTTTACGTTAACATCGTCCATGTTTTTCCGCTTTATAAAAGAACGCTGATGATAAAGGAGCCAGAGCGTAATTTTTCTTCTTCGAGAGAGACTTTGCTTTTAAATTGTCTTTCGAGCTCAAAGTAGCATTTGTTGGCAAGACTTATTCTCCGCTTGATCTACAGGCTGACATTATTGGTGGTGTTTATGCTGGATCTTAAGTATTTACCAACAATAATGTGTGACCCAAATACGTAAAGACTCTTTGTGGATGGCTTGAAAGCATTTTGTCTTTTCTTCGTTAGCCCTTAGACCGGTTACGTTTCTTATGTTGTATGTGTATGTTGCCGTTGCTATTCAAATTGGCAGCTCTTTCACGCATTCCAACATTAGAGTAAAGAATCGAAAGACAATGAGTCGCGAAGAGGAGAACGGAGCTTAAAGTTGTGCTCAATGTTACACTCACTACATGGGCGTATTCATTCCATAGCGGCGGTACGTATAGAGCGCGGCATGTGAGCCTGTTGTTTGCAGGGGTCGGTGTGGTGGGTAATGCTATATTCGAGTAGAAGTGAAAGCTGAGTCTATTGGCTGTCTGTAGCCGTCGCAACTTTTCAACGTCGAGGTTTCCTCGTGCATTAAAACGTACGTTCTTTGCTTTACAACGGCGTGCGAATATCTTTTCTTAGACACAATATCCGATGGATAGCGATCCAAGTTGCTGACACACTGAAAGCGTGTCCAAGGTTCTATCGCAATATGGCCCATTAGGTATCGTGTTTTCCTATTCGCTTACATCCACATAGTCTTATGAATCTTCTTATGCTGGTACTTGGTGATAAAAACTACCATGTTTCCAAATTGTGTCGAAAGACAAAGCGGTTTCGGCGTTCATTATTCGAACGAAAATTATACTACTACCCTGTCGGAAAAATTGCCAGCCAAAAATTATAGAAAGAAAAATATTATCTTTGTCGCCTAGCACGATTTTTATGCAGGAGAAAGTGGCGCAGAGCTCACTAGAGAGATCAAAGAGTTAGTTGATCGTCCTTTCCTTCCATCGTGACGTGACCACAAATGATCGAGATGCTGAACGACAGTCGTAGACGACGAAGTCTCTCTACCACCATAAATCCGACACCGAACTTGCGCCCCTTTTCCATAAAAAAAAGGAAAGACGTCCCAAGCTCCTATGATTTTCTTATCTTTCTCCGCCCATTGCATCTCTGGCTTTCTTTTATCGAGGGTATCAACAAACCGAGAAGCTGCGTATTCCTCATTAAGAAGCCGGTGTCGCCATAATAAGAGAGGGAGAGGGGACCTCGTCCAAGGCGTGTTTACCTTTCAGTTGAAAGGAGTTTTTACGTGAACATGGTAAGGTTTACATAAATGGCGAGGCACTTGTTCCAAGCGGTCGCACCTCAGTGAACCCTTAAACCAAATAAATTTGCATGCTGGAGTGGCTTAATTGTAGCTCACTCTCTTTTACCGTAATCCGAGGCTCAACAAAGGCTCAACGGCGAGTAACAATTGAGTATAGTCGAGCAACTGTAAAGAGCTACTCACATCACCAACAAAATTCTATTGCCTCTGGCTTCATAGGCAGAAGAATCAGCAAAGAGATGTTTTCTAATCCTAGAAGAGTGAGATAGATGTATTATATTTTTTTAATTGGATAGTACTAAGATGAGAACACTTTTACTTCACACGAGCTTAAGCAAATATTGAAGCAAAACATATGAACAATATTTTTTTTTTTTTTAATTTTCGTTATGGTCCGTTGGCTTATTGAAAATCGCTGTAAAAAAATGTTAAGTTCCAATAAACTCAATACTCACCACATTTTATCACGAAATTGAGCTTTTTTGTGAGTCGCCTAAACTTGAAAAAACGTGAAAGCTCGAAACTTGAAAAAAAAATATATTTCAAGAATTTTTTTAGAATTTCATTAAACAAAGTCGAAACTGTCGAGGCTTATGGTGCTTTTTCCAGTTTAAGAGAATACACTTTTTCTGCGTAAGTATGTGTATTTTTTAATATCGAGTCTTTATTTATTTAGTTTCTTTTTCACTTCGCTAGAATTGGAAATTTCTGTTCAAACTCCAAACGGACGTTGAAGATCTGGCGATTCAGTTTTTTTTTTGCCTATGCACTTTGATAATTATTGTAGTTTTTCATTATATAGTTAAATATATGTATTTGTATGTATATAATTTAAGTATTTATGTATATAAATTTTTTGCAGTATTGTTTTTTTTTCACTTTGCATTTATTATGAATTTTCATTTATTTCATTTTTCGACAACAACAATAATAATAAGTAGTTTTTATATGTATAGTATTTTTATACACCTAACTGTTTTCAACTTATGATTACTTACATAACTTCACCGTTTTATTTTTCCACCAATTGAATCCCTTGGCATTCTTGGTTATCTTTAAAAAATTTTGCTAATATTTTTTTTTTAGTGCTTTGTATTTGCTGCTTGTTTGCTGTTTTTGGGGGCGGCTGAATTATTTGAAAAATTGAATTAAGCAGAACGAACGAATATTTAGTAGTAAATATATGTATGCGTTTTTGGAATTACGCCTTTACAGAGCTGGAAGTTGAAAAATATTAAAAAAAATCTGAATTGCGAGCGAAAACTGGAAAGTAATTTCCATTTGCAGTCTTTTCTATATATTTTTGTAAACAAAAATTTTTTTTCTCGTGCTATGGTTAAGTTTAGAATATTCTTTTTTTCTTCTAACTATCCCCAAAAGCTGCTATTCCTTGTATAGTATTATGATTTTTCGCTGTATTAGTTGGTTTCTTTTTTACTTGAATTTTTTCTTCGGCTTTATTCTTTATCTATTCAATAGGTAGTTGCATATTAACATACATACATACATACATTGTTTTTATTTTAACATTATTTATTGCATTCGATTTTGATTTAATTGAGTTCATTTTAAAATATCTATTTACTTTTTATACCGTTATGATTAGTCTATACAGTGATTCATACAAGTGTTCACATGTTTTTTTTTTGAATTCACAACGTTTTGCAAGTAAACTTTTTTTTGTGATTTTTTTTTATAAAAATATTGTGGTTGCTTAAACGAAAACCAGTTTAAAGCTTTATAAAAAATTTTAAAAAGCCAAAAAATTTTAATCAAAATTTCGAAATTTTGAATTTGAATTTTTAGAACATTTTTGGATGTGCCCATACAGTTTTAGTAAGCTTTTGTCGGTTTTTTGTATAAAATAAGAGCAGGTTATAAAAAATTAAGTTTTTTTAAGTTTTTTTTGCAAGCTATCTTGCATTTTTTCTCATAAGAAATTCATGTTTCTATGCAAAAAAGCGCAAAAATCCGCCGACAAAAATTTTTTTTGAAATCAACGTGATTTTTTCGGAGCCGCTTCTGCTAAATACTATAAAACTGCATACACAAGAAATGTTCTAAATATCCATATTAAAAAATATTGATACTTTTTTTTGAATTTTTTTTAAATTTTGTTTAAAGTTTAGGACTTTGATTTCTACATTTACTTTTGGTTAAAGCATGCACTGTATTTTTATAAAAAAGAACAAAAAAAAAAAAGAAAAACAAACAAAAAAATCCTCATGTGAGCACTAGTTTGAGTCACTGTATGCTTGCAAGTAATATCCGGCAATTGTTGCCCGCTTCTTGTGATTTCGTTACAATTTAACACTCAATAATTTGCTTTATTTATTGTTTAATTTTTTTTTGTAATTAAAAAAACATTGACTTTACACTTTAGGTCCTTTACGTTTGTCTTTTAGACGATTTGTTTTTTTACATTTCCATAGAACTGCATGACTTTTTCAACTTACTTTTACTTCCATATAATTAATTTAGTTTATTTCTAAGTTCAAACATTAAAATATCAGTCGACGGTTCAAATATTTTCACACAAAGATTGTTGCTGCCTGCCTACATGCTGGGCCGAAGAGAGTGCTCCAAAGTTCGAAAAAACGCATCGAATTGTGGGTGCATTCCAAAACGTCAAAAATACAAAGCTTCAGTCTCTTTTACTCGAAGTAAAAGTTTAACTTGCGAAACCTAAACAGTTGAAAACTGTCATCTAACCGGGGTTGCGCACATTTGGCATGGCAATCTACAGAAGTTTAGAAATAAAAGAAAAAAAAAATTCATTGCATTTTGACGTTTTGAGTTGATAACTTGAAACTCTTCAGCAAAAGGTCGAGCGTTAGCAACTTAAGTTTAACTACTACTAGTATGTATTTGCATTAAACTTGAATTTTTCAGCTAAATTTAGAAAATGATTGTTTTTTTTTTCTTGACACTTGAACATTAGTCCACAGCGCAATCAACAGTTGTTTTTTTAATTAAATTTTATATATTTGTATTATAAAATATATTTACTTAAAATACCGTTGCTCCACACTCATGCAACATATTCGTTTACTTATTTGTTAATGGAGGTAGTTTAAATTAGGTTTAAAACTAGAAGTCAACGTACAAATCTTGTTACGTTTATTTAATTGATAAGTAATACATAATATTGTTGAAATATACATATACGCACATACATACATATACAATAATACTTTCACTCAATTGGCCACAAAAAAAAAAATAAAAATAAAAATAAAATAAAAAAATAAAAAATAAAAATGTGTGAATGCAACCCTGAATCATCCAAGTCAAAATTCTTTATTTTTAATTTTTTTTATCCATTCAGTTTCTCGTTAAAATTTCAAAATTTTCCTACTAAGAAATTTCGCATCCTCAAACTGGATACAGAATGCATAAATATGCACAAACAAATTGTCGACTTGCAGTGGTGACAACTCGGTGGCATCATTTGTTTTCAAACTCCAAAAGTATGTAATTTATGCCAAATATAGGATTGAAAAAAATAGGAAGCGCCATTTTTTTAATTTTGTTTTTCAATTCTAATTTTGTATTCAAAAATAAATGAACACAAACAATTTCTGTATTACTTTTTTTTTTCAAGTCAGACATTATTTTTGTTATCAATGGATCTCCTTTTTTGTCAATAGTGTTTCATAAACTTTAGTTAGACATTCATCATTCTAAAAGTTATAACGGTTTCATATTGCATTTAAGTATTATTTTTTGACATTATATGTAGACATTTGTAGGCATGCTGTTATTAAAATTTTTCTTTAAAATTTTTTATTACAATAACTAGTTGCAGAATTTTGGAAATTTTCTTCCTCTACATTGCATATTTCTTTACTAATATTTTTTTGTATGTGGTAATTCGTTATTAATTAAATTTCTTTTTATTTTCTTAAACAAAAAAACAAAAAAATACCTGAAATATCCTTTGAAACTATTGATATTTAAAATAATTTCAAGTTTCGAGATTTCCCGTTGCCTCGTAACTTTAATCGGATTGTCAAGTTTGGAATAACAAAAGTTGATTTTCAAAATTTCCAATTTAAGGGAATCTTCTAAATATATTTCTACTTTTTTTGGCTTTCGTAAATTAAGATGTTTGGTTTTTATAATATAAATAAAATATATTTCTCCTTTTTTTTTGGCTTTCGTGAATTAAAATTTTTGTTTTTTAGCTTCTTTCCAGCCTAGAACCAACGATGAGCGTCAGCTAGGCTTATCTGTAAAAATATTTTAATTTAAATGATTTTAGTTGATGGTGAAGGTTGTTCTAATTTTGTGTTTTAATTTCTTAAAAAAATAATAAATAGTTGTAATTATCATAATTTTTATCTAAATTTTTGTTTATATTTTACTATAATTGATCGTTTGACGCAATTTCTTGAAACCATTCGATGATGTAGATTTTTGTGTCCTAGATACTCGCCTCCAAGCCAGAAATTTAAGGGAGAAAATAAGATTAAAAAAAAGCAAAAAACTGTGAATGTACATTATCATGCCCCGCCAAAAAGTGCATTTTTCCACTGGAGTTGTACAATTTATTATACATATATTCAGACTTATGTTAAAATATTTGAAAATATCTCCAAATAACGAGTTTTTTTTTATAAATAAAATTAGTTAAAAAATACCTCATATAATTGTAGAGTTTAAAATTAAAAGGTTCGCATAAAAATGTAAAAAGTTTTATCGACGGAATCTAAAAAATGGAAGTTTTTGAGATAATTTCAAATCGGTCCAGCTGACGTAAATCTTAAACAATGTCCGAAATATTTTTGCGCATGTCTTAAAATAAAATAAAAAAATTATACTTTCTGTGCAAACCCGCAATTTT